AGTATAAAAAGGAAAATAAAGACTGCCTGGTATCTCACCACACAGATAATAACTCCACCGCTACTTTGTTATAATATCCTCAAGTGACTTTTTATGTGTTTTTATCACATTTGGCTCTCAAGGTTCTTATAAAGATTATGGGAGATAAAGTATTTCAAACATTTAGCAGAGTGCCTGCCCATGTGATAAATAGAAGTAAATATATTCATTTATTAATTCAACAAATATTTAATAAGCACGTGCTAGGTGTCAGACTGGGAATGTTTGTGTATATCTGTATATACCCATATGCACGCACATTCATACATATGTATGCATATTTAGAATGGCATACATATGTGAGTGTAATTTTTTTTGCACAAGGCTCTGTGACATGAAGTTTCTGTCTGTCTTCAGTGCATCAGAAGAAAATAACAAGGTGAATTTTCATCAAGTTTGGGGGGTGTTTTGAGATAGTCTGATCTATAATATAAACTGTGTGAAATTGACTTTGGGAGGTCTTGCAGGATAATTTGAAAGAATAGAGAGGCGACCTCCAACGCCACAGAAACTGACACGTGCAGTCCTGTGCATTCGCAGGTAGAAGAGGGTGCTCTGAAGATTGAGATGCCCTGGGCAGAGAAAACAAACAACAGTTTTAAGTATTAGTCTCTAATTGAGCATCATAAGAGGAGAGGACTTTAATTGCAGCCACTAATTACCACTGCTCCCCACACAGGCACCTCTAGGTGGCATGCTCCAGGGGGAGTCACTTGGGAGTTTAACAAGGGTTAATGATTCTCTTCAGCGATGCTGGGGAGACCAGCAAGTAGACAGGCTGCTTATGATTGTATTTATCTCCATGTGCGTGGTGTACATTTGTGTATGCATTAGTGTGATCCCCTTGCCATGCTTCATTCACCACTTAGAGTCATGCAATAACACCATTTATTCAATCCCAAAACATAGATTGAACGCCCTCTTCTTCTAGACACTGGCTACACAGATAGATTAGGTCCCTGTAAGAATGTACATTCCATGGAAGGTAGGACCTTACCTATCTATGTCGCCTGTGCCTAAGTCAGTGCTGGCATCTAGTAGGTACTCAATAAATGTTTATTGAAGGAATGGATGAATGAATGGTATGTGAATTTTTATATAATGAATATATCATATATATATTAGTATGTTGTGTATCTATTATGTATATACCACTAGATTGTAGCTACAGATTAGTATGGGCATATGGTTTATTTATTAGTGGGTATCTGCTATATATATCTACTATCTAAATAAATTCATATTCTAATTATCCCTCCAACCTCATGCTCCAAATCTTCAAAGAGGTAATAGCAGGGAAGATCAAGCTCATACTTGGCCTCAGAACACAGCCCTGCTTGCACACAACAGTCCTGGCCCAGACCCGAGCATCGCTAGTCAGACGTCACGGGAAGTGGAGGAAGGCCCAACTGCCAGGCCTGAGAGGGGTGCCCGCCTCTGCCCCCTCCTCTTAGTCCACCCCCTCCCTGTCTCTCAGGTGCTCTGGCCGGGCCTTGTTTTGTTGTCCCTGGGAGACTGCTTGGGGCACTGCATCCATTTCGCCTAACGACTTGGTCTCTGCAATCAGCACACTCTATTCAGTTTTTGACTAGAAGCAGGAAAGGTTTGCTGATTACTGATTACACAGACTAAATTTCCCAAGTCTGTTTCATTGGGGGTTCCCGCTGAGCCTGGTGTGAATCAGGGAGATGGAAGATGGGATGCAGGGGGAAAGGGGGAAGGGGGCAGAATAGAGGGTGGAAAGGAGTGGAAGCTCTCTTGAACCCCATTCTTGGTCCGCACACCCTTACCTATCCATGATTTTCTTGCTTTTAACCCCCCTCGCCCTGTCTAGGTATCTTATCCCCGATTCCGCCCTGCTTTCCACCCACGTCTTTCCTCTGCAGGATACTCGGGAGCTGAAGTCCTGCATCCCAAGCTCCTTATTCGCTGCATGACCTTGGCAAACCTCAGTGGTGCGGGGACACCCACCCAATTGCTCCTCAGCATCCTCCCAGAATTAAATGATAACAGTGCCACCCACCATGGGCCAAGCCTTTCATCTCTGCCAAGCACATTTGGTTCTTGCAACAGCCCTGTGAAGGGGGCTGCTACTGTCCCCACTTTACCCATGGGGATCGGAGAGGTTGAATTGCTTGCTGATGGCCACACAGCCAGTGAGTGGTAGAGCTGGGATTCAAACCCATGCATCCTGGCTCCAGAGATTACTTTCACTTTCATGATATTATGGACTTGACCCCCCTCAGACCCGCATTCTCTCTGCCCACCTGCTTAGTCCCAGTCCAGAGTACCCTCAAACACACTGCCTGTCCCTGTCCTCTGCCCACTAGAAGGCTTCCTGGGTTTGAGACTTTCAGCCTTGTCGCTCTCTCTACCTGATATTGACACAGCAAAGCACACTGGGAGGGGACACCTGTGCTCTTCCTCATCTCTCAGCTCATGTGGCATAAAAAGCCATCACCCAAGAACCTAAGACCGGAGGCCCATCTCAGCTTTGTGGTCTCCTGGGCTGTGTGACCACAGGTGCGTCATTTTGCAGCTCGGGCCCTAGTTCCATCTCTAAAATGAACATTCACACGTGCCTAAAATGGCCCAATGTGAACTTCAGGCAGCACCTCTGGGTCTTACAAGGCAAGGACACAGGTGCCTTGTCTCCTGGGAGAAGGGATGCCATTGTCCTGGCCTCTAGGAAGGAGCTGGGCTTGAGCAAACACTCCTGTAAGCTGCCGGGATTTTGCCCCCAGCCATTTTTCTAGGTGTCTTATGAGCTGACATGCTGGCATGCTGGGGCAAACACCCCCTTGCTGTCCCACAGTGTGTGTTATTTCCTCTGACAGTCCACTGGCCTCCTGCCTGGGGGCCCCTGCCTCAGATCATCTCATTTGTCTGCACCAAGGTGGGGGTCTCACAACTGGCAGCTCCAGTCAACTGCAATGCACGACCAGCCCCTTCTCACCCTGTCCCCTACCTCTCTCCACACCACCCCTTCTCTCATCCGCTCGGCTTGGCCTTTGGGCTTCTCAGTCTTTGCCTGCCATCTCCCTCCCTCTCTTATTCTCTCTCTCTTTCTCAAATTGGAAAAGAACTCACATTCAGTTGAAAGGCACAGACTTAATACTATGAACAGACAAGCTGATCTGCAAAGGATGGCTGAGTGTGTCCCTGGAGCACCAAGGGGAGCACCTGGTCCTCACTGACTTCTGCTGGGGTGTGCACACATAGCCCCAGAAAGACCACTGGGCTGGGAGCGGGCAGATCAAGGTGCAGATCCAGGCTCTGCTGTGTACTGGCCTGACTGACTTCGCTGGCCTCGGTTTCCTCATCAACAAACTCAAGAGAAATGATCCCAGGCTCAGAAAGTGGCTGGAACTGTTCGGTTAAATGGGGAGCTGGTCAGTTAAATGGGGAGCTGGGAATTACAGTTAGAGCTGATCCTGAATCCCTACATTTTCACCCTTCCACACTCATCAGTCGGCATATATGTGTTCCTTAAAACAACAGTCAAAAAATAAACTTCACGAAAATTAGAACAGCTTCAAAGAAAAATCCTATCCGTAACTCCCCTTCACCCTCATCCATAAATATCCTCATCTCCAAGTGCGTTTCCAAGTGGATGCATGTTATTTGCATATAGATGCGGGCATGGTATTTCTCTGTTCTATTCCATTGGCTTAACATTATTTCACAGAAGCATTCCACGCTGCCACGATCCTTATTTCTAATGTTAATGTCTGTCTAATAGCACCAAAGTGACACCCTGTGATTTCCCTAAGCATTCCAGCTGCTGGGTGATGAGGCTGCCTTCAGCTCCTCCAATGTGATCCTCGGGGACAGCCCTTACCCTGCCTTTTGTTTTATTTCCCGTAGGATTAATTCCCAGAAGGTGGGATTCTGGGTTTAACCCAGGGTTTCCCAGCCTGGGCACTACTGACATCAAGGCGGGGTAGTTGCTTGTGACGGGGGCGGGGTGGCGGTGCGTCCTGCGTGCTGTAGGCTGTTGCAGCCTCCCTGGCCTCCACCCACAAAATGCCAGTGAACACCCCCGCCAAAGCTTCATAACCAAACATATCTCTAGACATTGCCCATGTCCCCTGGGGCCAGATGCCCCTATGTGACAGTCACCGTGTGGAAGGGAAGGTGTGTGAAATATATTGCAAACGGAAGTTGGGGATTTTCCAGAGCTGGGACACAATCCGACTAGAGCAGTGTCAGAAAGTGATGGGGGGACAGCGCTGAGGGGACAGCCAGATGCAGCGAGCTCCGGTGCCAGCAGTGCCTTCCAGCCTTGGCTTCCTGGACCTCAGGCCCTCATCTGCGAAATGGGAGCAGAAACAGGGATCTGTCTGATGGCTGGTCGGGGTGAGGGCAGTCATGAGCAGGAAAGAACGCGGCCCTGGGCACAGAAGGAGCCCAGTAAATGGCAGCGGGGCTTGCCTGTCCTGGGGTCCCTGCTGAGGTGTCTGTCTTTGCCTTTGATGCCGTGGAGGAGGGAAAGGTGGGGGAGGGCAGGTAACAGTTGAAAAGGAGCTGGTCTTGTCTCCCCTGCCCTCAACCTCCCACAGCAGATCTATCCCTGAGGCCGGCTCAACTGCCAGACTGCCTCCGGGATGCCTGGGAAACAGTCGCTTGTATGCTGGCTCATCCACCCAGGGTGTGCTGCCTGTGTGCAGTGGGTGGTGCAGGCTCAGAGCTAGGCTCTAGGGATGCGCAGACCGGGTTCAGCACCCCCGCATGGGTGAGTGAGCTCCATCCACAGGCCATGTCCCCGGGCAGCCATTTCCTCCATAAAACTTGAAGCCTCTCTCTGAGGGTCCATAAGCCCATCCATACAGAGAGGGTCCCACCATGTAATAGGTACTCAGTGAACCTGAGCTGTGCCCAGGGTGCATCTGCCCCTCAGAGATCTGGTAGGTGGTGGGGTTCTTGCCTGAGGCCAGCGTGTGCTTGTTCTCTGCTTCCAGGAGAAGTGTGTGGAAGAGCTCTCAGCAGTGACACAGACCCTCCAGGCAGACCTGGAGACGTCCATCCGACGGATTGCCGACCTGCAGGCGGCCTTGGAAGAGGTGGCGTCCGGCGACAGTGACACAGAAAGGTAACCTACAGCGGGCCAGGTGGGGCTGGGGCAGCAGGTAGGTCTCTGTGGTCTTTAGTGGACAGAGGCCGCATTCGTGGGTCTGAGGATACATCTGCTGGGAGACCCAGATGCACTTTGCAGGCTGGGAAGGATAACTGGCTGGCTCCCTGCTGGGGCCACGTCTCCTTGTTCCTGCCAAAGCTGCTTGCCCAGCTCACTGAGCCTTTGGGGAGGCAGTCTGGGGGAGTGGCTGCAAAACGGACCCCCCCGTGTGATCATGGGCAAATTACATGTCCAATCTGAGCCTGATGTTTTCAACTGTGAAGTCAACATACTATTGGATAAATCACACCAAATTGCCAATTTTTGACTGCTTTTGACCTACAGACTGGATGTCTCATACCGTCAATGCACTACCTACCTCACAGGGCTGTTAGTGAAAGGTAAATGAGACAATGGACGAAAATCGTTTAGAGCAGTGCCTGCGGCAGGGACGTGGTATAAGATGGTAAACTACATATGTGCAGAGTAACGGGCATTCTTTTAAAAGGCAACAGCTGATTCAACAATGCAACATTAGACAGATGACGGACAGTTGGTGAGACCGCTCAAATTCAGTGTCAGGGCTCCCTGTCTTCTCTCACCAGGCCGTGGGTGGGCTGCTCAGCTGGCAGGAGTTTGAGTTGTCCTGGTGGGGCCCAGGCTGGCCGGCCCCTGCAGAAGTGTCCTATTCCCCAGGGCTGCCTTTGTGACCTTGGCATGTTGCTGCCTTGGAAATCACAGCTGCCCCCATCCCTGCCTCTGCAGCGAAGCCTGGGCAGCAGGGAGAGACGTTTTCTTTGCATTGCTTCAGTTCCCTCTCCCATCACCAGCCCGCCACGCCTACATGCACCCGGGTGGCAGCACTGGCTATCAGTCCCCCTTGGTCAGTGTCTCTGTGGGTGATGGTTCGCGCTGCAGGCAGAGCAAGCACATATCAGACCTCGGAGTGCCACCCACTCCGTTTCCGTGAGGACTCTGACTTCAGTGAAGTTCAAGGTCACCCAGCAAATTAGCAGCATGCATCCAGTTAGAACCCAGGGCTGCTCAATCTCCTACGCAGACCTTTGCCTGCCACACCCCACTTAATCGAGTGAAGGCAGGGGCCAGTTGCTGCCCTGTGGGAGGTGTGGCCTGAGACAGCAGCAGGGGAGTAGAGAGAGATGCAAGCTGGCTGCGGTTTAGCCAGTGGGAAGAACTGGGCATCTATATTAGAGCTGACTGTGCCTCATCAGGAAAAAAGACTGGAAGGAAACACGCCAACATTCAAGAAAAGGCATTGCTGCTGACCTCAATTTTTGTTTTCTTTAAGCTTATTTGTATTTTCTAAAATTTCTGCAATGAACATGCACACATATCCTTAGTTATACTGATGGTCTCTTTAGGAGATTTTACTCAGATGCTGTGTACTTTATACACCCAATCTAGAAAATAGGAACACATTCTTTCCTTGACGTAGTTCTGGGCTGGTCATAAGATGCTCAGACGTTCCCATGAAGATGTTAGTGCTCAGCCTCAGGGAGACGGTCACCCCATGGATGCTCCATGTTCTTTCCTCTAAATAAAGGGCTTTGGCGAAAAACTCTTTGGTTTGTGCAAAAATGGCTTCACACACACTTCCGAGTATTTCCACCAGGCCCTGAAATTTGCACAGTGGCCAAGTCACTGGTGAAACGGCAAACAGTAATGTTCCAGCTGCTTCCCAACTCCTGATTTCATTAAGCATCTCCTGTCTCCCGCCCCTGCTCTAGTTTTATTAGTGTCATGACACAACTTACATCTGTAATTACAAACCCCTATTGTTGATGTTAGCTGTTTTGTCCTTGGGTTGGCTTTTCCATTAATTGCAACTCCAGAGCTTTTGTGTTAATTATAATGAGAATTAATGGCTGTATATACTAGTTTTTATTTTTGTTTTTGCCAATGAGCAAAATTTTTGAACCATTCTTCTGTAGCAAGAGACTGCTTCTTTATTAAATGGAAATTATAAAAATAACAAAATTGGAAAATGGCTGAAGGTCCATGCTTGGAGGTGTGGGTGACAGGCTGGGCAAAAGGCGTGACAAGAAGTAAGAGGCAGATTCTTACCCGGGGCGTGAGATCTTGGTGGTGAGGTCACAGGCATCTCTCCAGTCTCTGCTTATAGGGGATCCTCTCGGGCCTTAAAGGGACCCTGCCCTCTCTCCCTCATCCTAATAGGAGATACTTTATCTCCCTGCACTCCAGGTGACAAGCCTCATGTTCCCCCACTCCGGGTTCTGATGCAGCTTTTCTGTGCTCCAGGCCCTGGGAAGCCCCCCACCCCCTGGGAATCCAATCTGAACCCTAGCTTTCTATCTGCATTTTCATCATCTTTTGTCTTTGGAGCCTTACATAGTCTTCTCTGCTGGATTTCTGATGTCTTCTGAAAACTACTGGTTGCTAAAGTTGGGAGGGACCTCACCTACATTTCATACGCCTGTGAGGTGGGAACACCAGGAGTAAAGCAATGTGTTTCATATCTGGAAATGCCCCAGGCGTGTGAGGATTAGCACCGTTGCAACTAGGGAGGCTGTTGTGAGGCTCTACAGCCCAACAAGCTTGATTTCCCATAGGGGAGCTGACTGTTCATTTCTACATGACCCTGAGCAAGTTATTAAACCTCCTTGAGACTTAGTCTTTTCCTCTGTAAAATGGATAAGAAGTAGGTGGAAAAATACGAGTCCCTGGTGCAGTATCTGACTCCATGATCAGTTACATTCATTCATTTCAGGAGCTCTTACCAAACACCTGCTCCACAGCGGACGCTATGCTAGATATTTGTGTTTTCCACTTGCTTCTTGTTTTTGTTCTCTGTCTTACTGATGAAGGGAGGGTGAATAAGCTGCCTGAGGTCAGGCAGAAGTCACACTGTTGAATTCCTGAGGAGCAGAGCGAGAGAAGAGCTCAGGAACAGCCCTGGGATTCACTGCGCCTGCATTCCGATGGGGGAGTGTGCGTATGTCTGTGACTAAAGCGAACAGACTGATAAATGAAGGGCTGCAATACACTAGCAGGCAGGCAGGTAGCAAGTGCGGTGCTGCGATGCACAACATGTTCTAGGAAGTGAAGAAGTGCCTAAGAAAGGGAAATGGTAGGGAAGCACCTCTCCTCCTCGCCTTTCTGCCTTCGCCCCCCTATTTTCCTCCATGCCCCCCTTCCCTCTCTCCCACCTTTCTCCCTCTCTTTACATAACCCCCAGAAGCCCATAGAATCCCCCAGTTCTTTGAAGTGACCCAGAACCCTGGGCAGGATCAATCCCACAATGTGTGGGTCCATTGTGAAAGAAAAATATGCATCGTCTTGCTCAAAATTCAATCAGAATTTCCAGACATTGCCGGCAGAGCATTAAACCAAGTGTGGGCCCTTCTGGACAGGGGTTGCAAGCCTGTGAAGCCGGTCCTGACCCCGTGGTGGACCTTAGGAAGTATTTACTGATTCTCAGCAGGCCTGGGTCCCAAACTCACTGCCCTGTGACTTGGATTTGAAACTTACATGGAGCATAGAATAGGGGGAGAAGGGAAAAATTACCCACAAAGAAATCTCAACACATTTCGACAAATTAATGTTGTACCAACCATGTTCTCTGGTCACAGTGCAATTAAAATGGTGCTCAACAGTAAAAAGAAATATACAGTGATCAACAATAAGAAATACATAACATTACTAGGCTTCAGGGCCCCCAGCTTCTGTCCCCATGCCAGCCTGTCCTCATCCCCGCCCTGGCAGCCCCACACTGTGCTCCCCTTAATTGTCTTGTCATCTGGGGTACGAGGTTTGCATTGGAGCCTGAGGGATCCATCTGAGGTACTTCTTCAAAGTGAGCTCTCAATTAGGATTCCAACCACACCCGGAGAGGGAGAGAGAATGCACGGCTTCAGCTGCAGGTGACGTTCTTTGAGAGACTTGTTTGAATTATGAAAAGTCACATTTTCCCATGTTGGGAATTAGATCCGAGGGTAACAGGCCTTCCAGGCTGGAAACGTGGTTACGTGCTCAGAAAGCCAGTTGGCCCGTGTGGCAGCATTTAAACACATGCCACCTTGCACTAGGGTCTCCCAGTGTCACTTAGACCACGCATCATGCTCCTTAGATGAATGGAGAAACGCTGTAAGCTGTTCCCCCAGGCCTGGAGCCTGCTCATTACTCATGGAGGGAGGGGTGCATCAGCCACAGACAGCCCCACCGATTCCTGGACCAGGGTCTGTGGCCGCTGTGGCTGTCACCTTGTCTGGGGGTTTGGGATGGGGTTGGGAGGGAGTGTGGAGAGGTCGATGGGTGACCCCTGACCCCTGGGTCAGCTGAGAGTGTATCAATGCCAGCTGCTCAGGCTGTGATGAATGCTCCGGAAGGGAGTCGTCCATTGCTGCATTGAGTGTAAGTTGTATGTTTTCCAGCATATATCCTTTTACCTTGGCTAAAATTCGGATGCAGTAGGACAAGTAGAAGGATCTGCGTCTAACAAGATTGCAGCTGTCATTCAGGGCATAAATCTGAGCTAATTTATTGAAGTGGGCCAGGTGCTGGCCAGCTTCTAAAGGTTCCTGCTATGTGGTAGGACAGGCTTTGGGAACACCCGCAACCCTTTTCCTATAGTTCTCATTTGCCCTCTGCCCTCTTTGAGCACTAAGCATGCCCCACGTCTTGGGGAGCAGCTTAAAACATCTGTCCGTTATTCTAAGAAGGTGGATGCCACCTTCCAAGTCATAACAGGGGCACTAGTGCGAGATACAAGCCTGGTGACCGCATCCGCCTGGACATCATCAGCCACATGTTTCAATGGTGGCCAGAGACCACCTGGCTTTCTGAGCAGCCGGCCCACTTGGAAGGCCTGGATGTCCAGCCAGGGGGTTCACAGGGAGTTAGGGCTCCAAACTATTTTATCTACTCTAGTATTACAGGAAGTGATGATAATAGTGATTGGTGGTTCTCTCTCCTGAGGACTGACTGTGCTCCATGCT